GTTTTTCTTCATTTGCTGAGTATAGGTGGCTGAAGAATTTTATGAATTATCTTTTCCTTAAAAATTTGTGTAAAAAAAAAAAAAAAAAAAAAAAAATTAGTGCATCTGCTCATGTATAACTAAAATGTTTCAAAAAAGTTTAAGTGAAGACGTGTAATGAACTTGCCGTTTGTATATCTCTCATATACTAACTCTGCAATTTAGTACTTCGCATTTTTATGTCCTTAACAGATGTAAGAATCAAAGTACCAAATTTAAAGTTTTTAATTTGGTTTTTTCACTCTTACATCTATTGAGAGCTTAAAAATGCGAAATACCAATTTAAGTCGAGTTCGTATATGAATGATCTACAAAGAGCATGCTCGTTATACGTCTTCCAGCAGATCTGGAATAATTCCAGTGGCTGTTTATGAGACATCCGTTCTTGAATAAGCTATGAATCAAGTTATTCATAGCTCATCCACGTAAAAGCTATGGTATATGCTTGATGGAGGACTTTAAGACTTCTACTTTCTACTAGATCTTCCCTGGAGCAAGTATGGATATTCACTCAGGGACCACATGGATCTTTGTGGATGTTTGCGATGACGTCTAGTGGATTATTTTGTGATATGTGGGTTAGATTAAGTTTTTATAAGACTTGATAAGCAATAAATATAAGTACTGCAACTGTTGGCAGCATTTCGTTTGGCATTTTTTCAAATGTTATAATATATAATGCATGCGACTATATATATATTTCTTTAAATTATTAAAATTGTTCAAAATTACAATTCATCCAAATTGGAGATATTTTCTTTTAGAGTCAAATTCATAAAAATTCATTTTAATACTGATATTACGCAGACATTTATAAGAATCAAATAAATCTAGATCACACGTGAAAACGAAATTTGTAACTTGGTAAATGCTAGCTAGTCGATACCATGGTCTCCCTTCTCACACGTAGTGCTGTCATTTTCGACCAATCGCGAGATAGGGCTTCTTTGATTTTTAATCTCTCGTTGCGTAGATAATCATAAGTGTAGGAAGTATGTTATACCCTGCTTCCACTAGGAAGTTAAGAGTATAACTTGATAGAGCGTAGAGTATAACTATAGAGTTGGAATATAGTGCGTTAGAGTGCAACTTGCTAAAAAATAATTTATTTATTTTTAATTTTACAGTCAAATTTGTTTGTTGAGTAACAATTATATACTTAACTATTCAAAATCTGAAAAAAATACCGAAATTTTCATGAAATTTTTTTTTATGAAAATTATTCTTGAAAAAAAAATCGAATACTAAATATTGCAATAATTATGCTATGCTCAAAATAAATTTGCAGATAAATTTTTAAAAAGTCCTATTTTTTTATTTTTTTTTCTCCGAATTTTACCAGTTTTTTTTCTTCAAATTTTAGGTTTTGATATTTAAAATTACATACTTTAAAATGCGATATTGAAAACACTTTGAATAACTTTTTATGAACTGAAATATTAATTACAAAAAAATATTTAAAACTATTTTTTACATGAAATATTAAACAATTATTTTAAATTTCTGGGTAAACGAATTTCATAATTGTTTGCAAAAATATTTTGATTCGTTTGAAAAGTTCCTAAGAAATGACGAAACACTCAAAAAAATATATCTAAAACTAAGCGGTTCAAACTGAACTATTGGGTAACAACAAATATAACACTTTTTGCTAGGGTGTTAATTTTTTGCTGTATATTACTGGGAAAATTAAATACTTGCAATCTTCCATTTATATTGTTTCAAATATCATAGATGAATTTTTTCTATGGATTTTTTTTTTCCATTTGTATTGCAAGCATTAAAAAATTAGTCATGCTTGAGTGTGGTATTACTGTTTAAAAACAAACTTTTTGTTTCTTCATTATGCTATGTGTGAATTATTCAAGTACTCATTCTTTTCTTCCTTCTTCTTATTTTTTTATTTATTATTATTATTATTTTTTTTGTTGTTGTATTTCTCATACACCTCAGCATAAAATTTAGCCGAACTACATTTGATAATTTTAAAGCAATTTTGGAATTTAATTGGTGGTAGTACTTTTGGTCATAAAATTAAAAAAAATCAGGAAAGACATTATTTTGACAATATAGAGATAAAAGTCGAGTAAGTTACGTTCTAATATAAGATAAATCCAATATAATATCGTATTAAGGCGACCTCCTTTGTCCATCTTAAAGCACCCAGAATGGCCTGCGAATACCATATATACATAAAAAGTAAGTAATAAAATACACTAAGTATATACTTAGTGTATTCCATTAGATACTTTTTATATTTTTTCAAAAAATATATTTTATACAAAATATTAATTAGAAATATGAATATTCGAACTTTTATNAGACAGCAGGCGATGTCCTTTGTCCACCTTAAAGCACCCAGAATGGCCTGCGACATATATACATAAAAAGTAAGCAATAAAATACACTAAGTATATACTTAGTGTATTCCATTAGATACTTTTTATATTTTTTCAAAAAATATATTTTATACAAAATATTAATTAGAAATAAGAATATTCGAACTTTTATTTTTGGAGATTAACTTTTTGTTTCATTCGTTTTCCCATCCATGCAGTGCCGGATTACCCATTGGGCCAGAATGGGCCTTGGCCTGGGGCCCCCTTAAAAAAATTTTTTGAAAATAAATTTTAAAAAATTAAGAAAAACAATGATTTAAAAAAACAATCAATTTCAAATATATATTAATAAAATACGATAATCTTTTTTCATAATTATTACATAATTTTTTACATATTTATTTATTACTTATTTTAGTTATTATTTATAAGTATTATTATAGTTTATGTATTATAATATTTATCAATGTTTTTTAAGTTCAAATTTGTCCTCTTGATTCGCGCGTGAAAAAATTGAAAGCAGTACTATAGCGAGCTGAGACTTGTTTAAACAAGAAGCAAAGAATTAAATGTTGTTGACATTAGACGTTTTAAATGAAAAAGAAATTATTTAGTACCTCAACTGAAGTGTCTCATGATTTTTTTAGTGTTTTATAATTATTTAGTGTCCATAATTCTATTTGATCAATAAATAATTACAAAATATTTTACTAAAAGGTAAATGTTTGTTTATTGTTTTATATACTCTAGAAAAAACTCTTACAACTGGTCACTTTCAATCAAATTTTATATATTGAAATTGTCACTGTTTAAGAGGTTCAGAATATTATTTATTTTTATTTCAAGTATGCTTTCTTAAATGAAAAGATACGTAAATACTTTTATATTGGAATAAATAAAAAATATACGAGAAAAAAATTTAATTAGGGCCCCAAAAATTTGAATGGTCTGGGGTCCCGCGTACGCTTAATCCGCCCCTGCATGAATGTTTTGGCATAGTGTAGAATATTTTCTTAGAAAAGGATCAAATGTGAGTAAAATAACTGTATTAAAAATAAAATAAAAAAACTTCAGCAGAGCATGATAAGACATTCAAAATAGAACGATATACTTTAAATTTAGTATATTTATATTTAATTAGCGTACAATGCAAATTTATGTAGCATAGGAGCATTACATTATGAAAGAAAGTGGAATAAATAAAACTCTTTCATCCACTTAAAAAAAAAGAGGCAGATGACATCTGAATTTTTCATTTTAATTAATATAACTTGCAAAAATTAACAAAATAAAAGTTTTTTTCTTCATTTTGAAAGATGTAACTTGTAAAAATTAACAAAATGTAGTTTTCTTCTTTTTTTTTTGCAATCAGTTTTATTTTTAATAAATTAAAAATAACGTCTATCGATGAAAAATAATAATTATTCCGTAAAATTCGTTTTTTTTTATTTTTTGATCCACCATACGTTTCACCATACCATATGTTAACTCCGTCATTTATCAAAAACTCTAATTGATAAATTCAAAGCTGCGATGTTCCGTTTTTTTCCTCCCAAATTTTGGATTGTATTTTTTACTTTATGTCAGGATGTGGAACTCATTACATTCGAGAGGAATTTATCAATTTACCTTCTAAATAATCATCTAAAAACGTAATGTTTTTTCTTTTATGATTTTAATTAAAAAAAATTTCTTTCGCTCAGAGCTCCTTAAAATTTCTAAGTATATCTTTTATTTCCAGAGTCTTTTTTTTCTCATATTGATTCATATGATCCGAGCCGTATAAAATTCTGTGATTTTTATTTCTAAAAAAGTTCTTTTGTGCTACGTGGAATAGAAATCTAGTGTGTATGTGATCATTGCTTTCTATACCTAGGTTCATTACTTTAATAATTAAAGAATAATTATCGCAAAGTATGAAAAATTGCATGAACTAAATAACTCTAAAGTTAGAAAATAGTCCTCTGATTATTTTCTGAGAAATTTAAAAATAATGTCAAAAAGTGAAAGTGTCTCTTTCATTATTGTAGGGTAGTGTACAGGTTTTATTGAGCAATAAGAAAATTAAAATTCCATCTTAATTTTTTGGTACAAATACTAAAAATTTCAAGGTTCTGTCCTATAACAACTTTATAGTATTATTCTCCATTCCATATATTAACATCATACGTTATATTAAACTTAGATTTATTAATTTTAAATAGAATGAATTCATTTATTTACTTCCTCGTTCCATTATTAGTACTAATTATTTTATTTTATTAATATTCATTCAGTTAATTTATTTGATAAGTAGAATAAATGAATTTGTTTTTTTTATTCCATTTAGAATATGATTTCTTCATTATACTCAATTTAAAATAAAATGTGGAGTTTTTTAAGTCTAAATAAGTAGTAAGTTTATTATTTATTATTTAAATCATTTTACAGAAAACACCAGAGATGGCGCCACAATGAAACCTTGAGAGGGATTCCGTATTCTCTGTTTCTTGCCGTTATGTGTGCGTTCAGTTTGTTTCATGTTTTCGCAAACAAGAACGGTTCCTTAATTTACAAATGCGTTTGAGAAAATTATTTGCAGTGAGAATTATCTTTAAGCCTTTGCTTATTAAACTAATTGTTTGCAACTGTTGGCATCAAGTTTCATATTTGAATTAGTTTTTCTTTATAGTTTTGATTTCTATTTTTATTATGACAAAGATTTATAAATAAATAATTTCACGAATTTTTTATCTTAATTTCTTTAGTTTCCATGTATCTCTTCATTTGTTTTCAAAGATATGGAAATTATTTAAACTTTTTTGTTTCTTCCGTTAAGTGATAGTATAAGAATATTTCTAATATCTTATTTGAGTATGAGTTATTGGTCTCATAAGTGGAAAATGAATGAAAAAATTCAAGAAGATGAATTTCTTTTTGAACAAGAAGATTTAGCTGCTAATTCGTTTCCAAATTTTGAAGATATTAGAAAAAGGGAAAAGCTTTGTGATGTTGTGTTACAAGTATGCTTGCTGTATATTTGTTCATCAATAGTAATCTGTTGAAAATACATTGCATACAATATTTCATTTTTGTAATATTTTGTATATATTGCAATATTTTGTTTTTAAGACTTTTTGTATTAGTTTCTTTACTATGTTTGATAACATAAATGATCGCTTATTTGTTTATTAAACTATTTCACTTTTTATTTAAAAAATACTATATTACATAAAAAAATATTTTTTTACTTAATATTTATGTAATAACTAAATCTCATTAAAATGTAAAAACATTACAAATTTGTGAAAAAAAAAGCATTTTAACAATTTTAATTAGAAATATATGCTATATTTAAATATAATTAAAACTTCGTGTAAGATTAATGGGATATGAAAGATAGGTATGTTTTTTTGCCCAATTTATATGATCCAGGTCTGGATGGATTAGTGATCAATTTATCTCTTTAACATAAAATTATAAAGTAATTTAGTACTAGTGAATTCTAATGCTATTACTCATCTTCACATATGCATAAAGAGCATTCACTGAAAATTTGCAACCAGGGGTCTGTCCTGACATTTTGTGAAAGGTCCATTTTTCTAAAATTGTGAAAAAATTACTCTTAATTTGTGAGTATAAAATAAACGTTTAGTCAAGCTCGTTCAACCAGGATCCTGCTTTTGTGAATTTGTGCAAATTGGATCCATTATTGCAAAAGAACTTTTTCAAGGAATTTTTATATTATGAATAAATAACAAGATTATGCTCAACACTGTGAAATTATAATTAAGAAAATTAAATTTAAAAAAATAAACAGCCATTGCTGCATATGTAAGCCTTTGAATTAAATTAGAGATGCAACATACAAATATTTAGTATTCAGCCTATCCTGTTGAACGCAAAATATTCATTTCAGACGAATAATGGAAGAAGCGTCTGCGGAAGACAGAATTTAGTTTGTTTACATCAAGGGTTGGCAAGTTTCTGCCTAGGTGGTTAAAACCACTGGTAGAAACCGGTTAAAACTGGCATGGTAAAAACCCTTTTCTGCCACATTTGTGGCAGAAATTTGGAAAATGACATAAAAGTAAGCTCTGAGGTTGACATAATGGATAATTCATAGAAAAAACAATTAAATGTTAAACAAAGTACAATTTATTTGCAAAATTATCACCATTCAAAATCAAATAATACATTGTTTGCACTCTGCAGTATTATATAACAAAAGACAAGTTTTGGTGCAGTTTCTAAACCTAAACAATTTCTCAATTTGCTATGCACGAACGAGAAATTTGAGAAGTTTCTCTCAAATCCAGCAGGCATTGCCATCCACGAAAGATTCAAACTGTTACTGTTATAATAGTTGGATTGTTGCCATGCAAATTATGTCTTGAAAAGAAAAAAACTATTTGAAAATAGCTCTATTCAGTTATGTTAAGAGTTAAATGATAATTACTGAATTTCAGAATTTAATATAATAAACGAAAATCTAGTATTTATATTTATTGTTACATTACTTTATTCTTCATTTTATATAAATATTTGATATACTGCTCTCTTTATATTTAATATAAGCAAAATAATATATATTTACAAACAATGAATTAAAAAGTTTGTTACAGTTACATGGAGTTAAAATTTTCAGTTTACTTAAACAAAATGTCATTAAGCAATTACTAGAACTAATATAGAAGTTTTTTTAGTTTCTGCCAGTTTTTGCCGGTTATAACCGGCTTCTGCCACTGGCATGGCAAAAACCAGTTTCTGCCGGCAAAAAGCCAACCCTGTTTACATCAGTCTTTCTTCTCCCCATCTTCCTCGAAAGGGTTTATTCGATTAACAGAACAATAATGAAGATAAACAAATTTGTGAAGGGTCCGATTAAAAGATGAATTATTTTGTGAAGGATCCGTTTATAAGTTAAAATATTTTATGAAGGGTCCGTTTTTATGAAAAGATATTTTGTGAAGGGCCCGTTAGCGGACCGAAATTTCTTCTAAACAGACCCCTGGTAAGGTAAAACAAAGTATGTCAATAATTAGTTTTATTTAAGCAAAAACCTGCTTAATTTAAAGAAATATATGCTCCAAGTATAGTAATCAATATAGAGTTTTATAATAATTAAAAATAACTTTTAAGAAAATCTGTGCTTTTCAAACAAATTTTGTCAAAGAGGGCGATTAAAGGGTTGAAATTAGTTACATGAGTCCGCAAATTACTTGCAGGAAGATTTTTAATTGATATTTTGTCACAACGTGTTCATGTGTAATGCTAGAAAAAGGTGGAATTTCATGACACTGAGACTGATTGATGCTACTGCATTTCTGAGGGCATTAGAAAATCGCTAAACTATTGATACTAGTGAATTATAAATTATCAGAGTAATATCTAGTAAGTACCTATTATCAAAATTGTTTAAACATCACTGGTATCAATTATACTTTACCAATTTTTCAGTGCGTTAGGAAATGGACAAACAGACTTGACTGATTTTTTATTCATTTAGATTTGTATGTTTTTATTTATAAGTAAATGATAAATGAATAAATTATCCATTATAATTTAGTATGCATGTATATTTGTAAATAAGGATATATATTAATTTTCGGGTAAATTTGCTGATTGCTTAGATTTCTTTAAAATAGATTTTACTATATGATACTAATAACAATAAATAAATTAATAATGTAAAACAATAATGTACGTCCCTAAATGGCAGAAATGCATATACATTTTTTAATATTAATTCAATAGTAAGTTTGTATTTTTATTTTGTAAAATCGAACTGCATGGAAATGTTAACTTACTATCAGAAAAACTTCATTAGCTTTGAAAGTTATTGGGGAGTTATTATTATTAAGGAAAGCAAACTAGCGTCAAAGTGAATTTCATCTCATGCATTTTGAGAATAGACACTCTAAACATGTCAAATTTTTCCACCATAATAATTTTCAAAATTAATGAAGTATGTTGATTTTTTGGAACAGAGTTTTTGGGATTATTAATTTTATATGTTGAAATAACATAAGGTAATGTGTTTTATCCATATTGATTAGATTCTACATTTTCTCTTAACTTGTTAATCTTTTGACAATATGAGACTTTCTTCTATAATTTTTTTTCTAGGTTGACAATAATCGTTTCTTTGCTCATCGAGTTATATTAGCTGGCACAATTCCTTATTTTCATGCAATGTTTACTCATGATATGGTGGAATCAACCCAAAAGGAAATAACTATCAAAGAAATTGACCCTGAGTAAGCATTTTTATTTTTTATATTTTATTGGTATTAGTTATGATTCAAGGTGTCAAAAGATTTAAATCTTTCTAAATTTTAACTATTATTTTTTTAAGAAAGTAAGATTTCATTAGTCAGTACCCACTTTCACAGGTCTGTTTATATGTCATTATTATATTTTCAAGAGTTTTAAAATTTGTGAAACAAAAGAAATCTACATGACATTATAATTTTAAGTTTTTTATAAGCCAATTGAAAATGCATATAAAGCCGGACTAAAACAAAATTTCATTATGTTAAATAAATAAATTGAATGTTACATGTTTATCATAGGTATAGCATTGCATTAAAAGCAAATAAAAAGTGACTTAAGTGAAATTAGATGAGAAACCTTTCTTGCTAAGAAAAAGCTGCATTCTAAAACTGAAGCAGTAATTACATATTAAGAAATTCTCAACTGTTGGATGACGTCACAAACCCAGCTTATTTTCTTCTTCTTTATCCTTCTGCAAAGTAGGTGGCAGTTTTCCAGAACTCAAACTTTTTTCATAGAGACATGCAGTGTTTTCATCACAAAAAAAAAAAAAAAAAAAAAAAAGGAAAAAAAAANAATCATGTTTTTTGTAAAAAAAATAAAAAAAAAAAAAAAAGAGATTTGGAAATTTTTTTTTTCTTTAATTATAATACATTTTTAACATCTTCTAATTTTTAAAGCATTGAATATTTTTGCTGCACATCATATGGAAAATGTTCTACATTTACTTTTTCATCAGCTATTTTCATTAGGTTGCTCAAATGCGTATTTGTTTCGTTTTGATCGTTTCTACCCACATTTGTTTAATTTTCATTTGTTCGTTTCAGAGTAGAAGATATTGCCTTTACAAGGTATTTGTCTATCTTACATTAATGCGCAAAAAATTTTAGCGTCTTTCATGAAGAAACCTTACCTACGGTAAACATGTGGTTGCAGAGAAATGCGTTCTGAAGAACAATACTGGTAAATAGGGAAGCTAGATAATGAGGCAGATGTTGAAAATATGTAATGAAAGATCCAGGAAGAAAAGTGAAGCGGATTTTATTCTAAATGGCGCAACGAGAAATTTTTTTCAAAATTCGAGAAATTCGCGAATTTTGAAACTGGTTAATAGAATGTGCAAATTTCTCGCGATAATAATGTTTTAATGCGAGAAAAGAAAAAATATGTGAGATTCTCACGTTCTCGCGGCGTAGTGAAAACACTGCATGCATAAAACAAGGAAGTACTGAAATATAACTCCCTTGTTTTAGTGTTTCTAAAAACCAAATCAGAAGCATTACACTCCATTTAAAGGGATCTGATACTGGTTTAGGAGATTATTGCACTGATTATTATTTTGTCTGATTATAATGATTCATATTTGAGTCCTTCCTCATTTCTTTTCCATTATTATTTTTTTTTTTTTCAAAATGTGTTGCCTATATACGTTCTACCAATTTTGACTTGGTGAAGATTTTAAACATTACATATTTAAAAATTATAGAAATTCGAGGTCTTATTTCTGTTTTTTAAAATTTATCTCACATTTAAGGTTGATTTTTTAATATTACAGTATTTAACAACGCTATTGCTACATTTAATGTTATTTATGTTTAATTTTTATCAATTCAATTTCAGGATAATGAAGTGACAGTTTTAGAATATTTGTAAGATAGTTTTATGATCCAATCTAAATTTGCCCTGTTAACAATATTTACTTTGAATTTTCCAATTGCATTGAAAACAATAATATTTTTCCTCATTTTTATTTTTAGGGCATTGGATTTATTAATTGATTTTGCTTATAGCGGAAAAATATATATAAATTCAAGAAATGTACAATCGGTTCTTGTTGGTGCATCATTTCTTCAGCTTCATAAAGTTCGGGATGCTTGTTGTGAATTTATGAAAAAAAGGTATGCACTAAATTAATTTACAGTATTACCTTATTTTAGTTTTTGCTCTGTATATTTATTGTGTTCAAACAAATGCTGTATTTTAAATGATATCATATGTACAATTCTGATCTATATGATTTTAGATACATTATTATTTTGATATGTATGTTTCTCTTTATATTATGATTTTGATTTTCAGTTTTTGGAAATGAGTGATTTGGATTTTTTGTTACCTCTTAAACAAAATAAATAAAATTAAATTATTCACTTTGATGCATAGTAATAAATTTAATTTGAGTGTTATAATGGATAATAGAAAAGAGTTCCAGGTATTTTGAGTCTTTTGACTAAAAACTATCAAATACAAGAAAATTTTATATCCAAATTTCTCAGACCACATTTTTTCTTAAGAAAGGTAACATAAGAATATTAAGTTGTAAATAAATATATATAAAAAGTAGAAACAAATTGAAATTTTTTAGCATTATATTAAAATTTTTCATGAATTTAGTTTTAAAAAATATTTTTGTATTAAATCTTTGTACAATTTTTTTTCCAAAAAAGGAAAAAAAAAACCCTTATGAACCCTGTTTTTTAAGTTTCTGAAATAATTATCTCTGATATTTGTTGTAATTTGATTCAGAAGTCTCTGAACTTTATGAGAATCATTTGTTTTCAGAAGTCTTTTTCATCCTGAAGTTTCTATTAAAGTAGTAAAAAATGAATATTTCATATTTATATGCATATTGTATTTATTAAGGATATTTTGTAGCATATTCAAATGATTAGACTACTAAGCAATGTAACAGTTAGAATTTTTTTTTAGGTTGCATCCCAATAATGTTTTAGGTATTAGAACATTTGCTGATGCCCTTGGTTGTTCAATGCTCGTCGATGCAACAAATCGATTCATTCAAATGCACTTTATTGAAGTTGCACGTTCTGAGGAGTTTTTGAATTTGCAATTTTCTGATATTAGAGATATTGTTGGCCGAGATGAATTACACACCACCACTGAAGAACAAGTAAAGACATATTTTAATTTTATCAAAAAGTGTATCCTTCCACTGTTTGAAATAAGTTGATATCTTTGTTTATGTGATTTAAAAAAAACAATATATTGTAATGGGCAATTTCTATGACAGGGAGCATGCTTTGAATCATCAAAACCATTGCCATATGTTAAAAATATTTCAAAGTTTAAGGATATTTATCTCTTTAAGATACAAATAATTTAGAGTTAATTAAAATGTTTGAATGATACACTTGTGTTTCAAATGGGAAAGAAAGGTTACAGAGCATGTACCTTTCCCCCCCCTTTTTTTTTTGTAATTTAATTGAAATGAAAGTTAGTTTGAGGTATATATTAGAAAATAGATTTGCTGCAGTTTAGTATTAACCTGCTTAACTATGTCATGGAAATAGTCCCTAAGTTTCTGTAAATTATGAATTGAATATTAATATACTATATTATAGGCCGACCGATCTATGTAGGGGTCAGGGAACTGGCCTTGCATCAGAAAGGTTTTGGGTTCGAATCCCGTGCAAGGCATGAGTGTCTTTTCATTCTCTGTGCTATCTGTCCTTACTGTGGGAGCAACTTTGGCCCACCTAATATGGTGCCCCTGAAAGTGTAGCCAGCAAATCTGCCCTTAAGATGCCTGTATTGACAAAATGTCATTCCCCAGACGGGCATTAAAAAAAACTGTATTATAGTTTGTTTTTACTTACAGAATTATTTTAAACGTTAGAAAACAAATATTTTACCAAATAAAGAGCTATAATGATTTGTTGCAAATCATGATCTAGATTGTTTGGAACGTATGTAGTTGGGAGAATGCATACAATTTTATCTATTGAAGAGATTTAAAATGAGCCCCACTCACTCCCTGAACAGAACTCGCCCATTATTTCATAAAAATATTTATAAATGAGTTCTAAATATTGATTTAATTAGGTGTTTGAATCTGTTATGGCTTGGGTAAAAAATGATTTGGCTCGGATGAAGCATTTGCCAGAATTGCTCACTCAGGTGCGAATGCCTTTATTAACACCTCAATACCTAACTGATCATGTTGCTACTGAAGAGTTAATCAGAACTTCACATCAATGTAGAGATTTGCTGGATGAGGCAAAAGATTATCATCTAATGCCTGAAAGACGGCCATTGTTACAGAGTTTCAGAACACGTCCTAGATGTTGTCCTGATATTATTGGGTGTATATATGCTGTTGGTGGACTCACAAAATCAGGTATATTTCGTTTTTTTAGGATTTTTTAATTTTGAAATATTGATTATAAAAGCCTATTTAGTATTGTGTATCATCAGAAATTTTTTTTTCTTCAAAATTCAAAATTTCAACTTAAAAAAAATCTGTTACTATTGTCTTATATTTAACAAAAGAATTTTTAGTCAAATTGAGAAACATTAAATTCTAGATTTAGATCTCTGGAAATGAGCCTAATTTTTTTTTTTGATGGTCAAAAACATGAATTAAAATTTTTTAAAATTCCTATCTGTAATACAAATTTTAGTTTCAAATTCTAAAATAACAATATTAATGTAAAATAACGACGCATTGATTTGCAACAACAATTGAAACTTTTTATTGATTTTAAATTTTGAGTATACATTTTTCATGATACATACAACTATTCAGCTAAAACTTCTTCTAAACAAATTATTCCTTCAAAACATTCGATGTAATATTTATAGTAGACAATACATGCAAAGATGTTACAATTAGGACTGGGCGATATTAGAAATTATATATCGTGATATATCGTCAGTTTTGAATCGCGATATAGCGATGTATCGCGATATAGTATTTTTGAATTTCATTTACTNTATCGCTATATCGTTATATCGTCTTCTTCACTCGACGGCTTAAATCAGATTTCTGATGCATCGCTTGGAATGAAAGTCGCTGTATCGGTTTGCCGATATAGGCGTTAAATCGATATGTCGCGATATATCGATTTATAGCCCAGTCCTAGTTACAATACATGCAAAGTAAAGAAATCAGGAAAAGCATATAACTTTGAGGAATTGTTTTTGCATTTAATATATTTTAAACCTGGTAACTTCATCATATCTACGTATTTCATTTATTGATTTAATATTTTTATTTTCAAAATTAACTTCCATTGAAAGAAATAAAAACATTGTAATTTTATTAAAATCACATGGGAAGAGATTATCTTAAAAAGTTATACAATTTTGTTTTAACTCTGAAATATTTCCTTCATCTTTGTTTACTTTGTAACATTTTTTAAACCTTCTTTTGAGTTTTGTGATGTTTAACTTTTTACCTAATATGTTTAATTTTGTTTTAACTCTGAAATATTCCCTTCACTTTTGTTTACTTTGTAACATTTTTTAAACCTTCTTTTGAGTTTTATGATGTTTAACTTTTTACCTAATATGCTTAACTATTATCAATTTATTTTCAGATATGATCATTAGTTGCTAAAACTGTTAGTTAACATATTAAGTTCTGTACTTTGTGTGAATTTAAAATTTTTGCTCATACTTTTGTTCAGTATACTTTATAATATATATTAATAGTTATAAATAAGTTGTCATTTTTTTGCAGGTGATTCTTTAAGCACAGTGGAGGTGTATGACCCTAAAATTGGACGTTGGCAAATGGCTGAAGCCATGACAATGTTAAGGAGTAGGGTTGGTGTTGCAGTCATGCACAATAAGTTGTATGCTATAGGTGGGTACAATGGAACAGAACGACTAAGTACAGTTGAAGTCTTTGATCCAGGTCATCGTACTTGGTCTACTGCCGCATCTATGAATTGTAAAAGAAGGTTTGTAATGCAATTATTAATTATGTCAAATAATATTATAACATTTATATATGGTTGCATTTAAAAATGTTTGAAAGTCTAATGTATTTTTTGTTTCGTAATGTGACAGTTTTTATGTGCCTGTACTCAATATAGTTCTGAAATAAAATTATCTTTATATTTAAGTTTTTGTGAGTTAAATAAAAACGAAGCAGCCACCAACTCTCTTTTCTGTTGGGTCTCTCACCAACAATTTGAAATAATATAAGTATTATGTGTAACTAGGTTCTGCCAATGTATGTGATTAGAATAAAGAATGCAACATGACAATTTATAATTTTATAGTAAAATTAGAAATTAACTTTTTTTAGTATTGCAGAATATATTTTACAGGTTTTTATTGTATCCTGAAATGAAATAAGAATTTAAAATACAAGTACGTGGATGAAGTTATAATATTAAATTATTAGGTTTAAATTGCATCCCTATAAAATCAGAACTGAATTCGTTGAAATCAAATCTACTAAAATAGAATTCACAATTGTCCTGATTTTCCTGATGCAAAATATTGTCCTTATTTTTAGCTTTTTGTCACAATATTCCTGATTTTTGTGTGGGTTCATAACATCCTGATTTCAATGATCACAAATGCAGGTTTTAAAATTAATAATCTTAGTATAAATCGCAAAATTTAATCGTTTTAAATTGTTCTAGTTGTTAATCTTTCAGATTTTTGGTCATCTTACAAAAAAGAAACTCGTCATTTCTACTGTCACAATTTTTTTCTTAATATTTCTGTTTGCTAAATCAAAGAGAAAACTCATTAACATTTTTCTCTAGTCCTTTAACTTACAGTGGAAATATTGTTTTTTCATTTTTGTTCTACTCATTTCATTTATTACAAAATCAAAATGTCTTATACTTTTTAATATCCATCTACAAGTAATGATTTAATTTCATAGTTTCTTTCTTCTCCTTATTTCGATGATCTTTGTTCCCAGGTTGGGATATATTATATTCTCTTTTTGTTTGTTTATTTATGTATACATTTTTTTCTGTACGTATACATTTTTTTGCAAAATATTGTCCTGATTTTTTTGAAACCACTAGTTTTAATACAGTTGAAATTTTAGGTTCGTTTAGTTGAATAACTTAGAATTATGATATAACGCTCCGCTTATCATCAAGAAAAAAATTATTGAAAAACAACTGTTGATGTTGGTGAGCAAAGTGTTCAGGTGTGGAGTCCATAGCATAACAAATTGAACTGATTGATCAGATGTGTATTTTATTAATATATTAGATGATTTTCTAATTGTTTCATAAAATGTTATATTTGTCTTACTTTTGTTTACTTTTTGATATTTATTAGATATAGTATAAATAGTGATTGATAGTCAGGTGTGCTTTTGCATCTATTTAATTAAAAGAAAATAATTTTTTTGATTCAACTTTAAAAATTCATGGTCTTTGGATTTCTATTTTTTATTTTATTTAATCATTTATTATTATTTTTACTTTAGTGCTGTTGGGGCTGCTACTCTTTTTAACAAACTTTATGTGTGTGGAGGGTATGATGGCATTTCATCATTAAATACTGTTGAATGTTATGATCCTGAAACCAATGGGTATGTTTTTTTTGTTTTATATAATATGTTTAAATTTGTTAAAAATTAAATTTAAAATGCAATATTTTTAAATTTTTATTTTTCTGATTTTGGACTTGCATCTCTGATAACCATATTAAAAAGTGTTTCTTAACTAATGGAACTTTAGTACAATGATATATTGAAATTTTAAATATATATAAGAAAAAATAACTTAAACTATACTTGTATATTCATTTTCTGTGAAAAAGAAAAACTTGATATTTTTTACCAGTTTTTCCGGAAGAAAAAAAAACTCGTGCTTTAATGGGGTTAATGAAGAATTTGAAATGAAATATCTAGGATTTGTTAAATTTTGCCTAGGAATTAATTTAAAATAAAAAACATAATTATAGCCATGAATCAACAAGCTTATATTAAGGAAATCTTAGATCACTTCAGTATGACAAATGCTAAAACTGTATTGTGTCTTATGGATGTTAGTATTAGATTAAAAGAACCGAAGAATGTTCTGAATCTGAGTACCCTTAATTATTTTCAGAAAGTGGTATTGTGTTATTCAGAAAAAAGTAAAAATTTTTCAAAATTAAATTTTTTACTTCTTACAGTTTAAAATTTCGATATTTGCTACACATTTATTCATTAGAAATCTGATATTTTTCTTATAAATTTACGGGGAAAAATTATTGGAAACTTTTAAAATAATAATTATATGTAGTTCTAGCTGATTGAGCAAGTTATTTGGCCACCTATACCAGTAAAATAATTGTTTTAATCATTATAGTATATAATATACATCATGATGATATTGAAACAATGTGTATAATATTATGCCACTGATATATTGTGTAGTTATTAGTTAAACTTTATATAAAATTAAAATGTATGTCATTATATAGGTGGTCTATGGTTACTAGCATGTCAAAACATAGAAGTGCTGCTGGTGTTGTAGCCTTTGATGACCATATATATGCATTGGGTGGTCATGATGGTCTTTCTATCTTTGATTCAGTAAGCATACTTACATTACAATGTCTTAAAATTTTTTTTTAGAATATCAATAAAATGCATGAATATGATAATTATACGTAATTATCAATAGAAAACATATTTATAACACAAATAATTATGTTTAATTTATATTTTACTGCTATTATGCCTTTTTTGTATCACATGTTTCTTTTTAAATTATCTTACTACCTGAATAATCATCAATGAATCAATATTATATTAACATTACACTATCATGCATCATAGATATGGGTATCATGCATAACTATCATTATCATACATATTTATGGCACTAATAATTACATTTAATTCATATTTTATTGCTACTATGCTTTTCATTGTGCCACATTTTTCTCTTTTTAAACTGTCATATTATCTGAGTAAATGAAAATAAATAATTATAAATCATCAATGAATCAATATTAATTAATATTACACAATCATATCAAAAAGTGAAAGACATTGACAAACACAGTTATTATTATTTGTGTTCTTCCATGGTATTTTTTCATAGTTTGCAATAAGTTCATAACTACTGTAATTTTTTATTTCAATTACCTTTGACCTTACATTTTTTAGAATTATAGAAATTTGCTTCAAAAGTATGATTATTAAAAAAAAACAACCTCATGGTTTCAGATAGCTTTCAAAATATTAATTATTCTGTGCTGTCCATCCGTTGGTTTTACAGTAGAACCTCGACTAACCGAGCTTCGATTAACCGAGGTTTCTGTTAACCGAGGCAATAACGAAGTCTAAATTTTTTTTCTCCTCTCCAAAATGAGCTTGGAAGAAACTATACACATATCAGTTCGTTGTCCGTGTTACAGGCACTAATTCCCCACAAAAGCACTCAACTTCCATGAAATATTACACTCTGAGAAGACAACACCCATGAATGCTTTGTTAACAGTGGTCATGTGACTTGTAAGTTTAATCATGTAAATTTTAAAAATACAACATTTTCTTGAGATTTGTGTAATTTTTGAAAATGCGTCTTTCGATATTTAACTAAGTATAGTTAAAAAAAAATCCATTTTACTTTTTAAAATTTACTACTAGAGCTGATTTCCTTTTTAAGTCTTTTTAGCTGTGAAGCATAAGTTCACCTATGTTTATTTTTATCAATTAAAAAACGTTCTATTGTTTTTTACTTTAAAAGTAGTTAAATTCGCAAGCACGGAAGGTTTTTATACATGGCTCCTATTAACCAAGATTTCCGATATCCGAGGTACTAGCGGTCCCAATTAACTCGGATAATCGAGGTCTTACTGTACTTGGGCTTACCTAAAGTAACAAATCAAAAATATATACAATCAGACCTCTATTTACTGAAGTCGCAAAATCCCAATAATAAGTTCGTTATATGGAAAATTTGGTTAATAGAAAATCACCTTTTGAAATACAAACCTTTTCAAGTAAGCAACACAAAACAGATTTTAAATTCCTAAACACTAGATATAGTTAAAATGTAGCAATTGATACACCTTTATCTTGTAAACTAGTATCTACTATTTATTTTATAAATCTTAACCATAAAATAAATTTGCATGGAAAGCAAGAATAGAGCAAAACATTATCCAGTGTTACACTATCATGCTACATACATTTTCAACAAAAAAAACTCAATTTATGAATAAAATAATGGCTGCATTTATTATAAAAGTATTATTAAACATATATTACCACATGCATTCTTAACTTAAATTGCTACTGATAAAATAAATTGCTACTGAAAAAGAGAAAGGGATTTTGCGGCTTTCTCTAAAAGTTGAGTGGCTTCAAAAATCAATTCAAGGTTTATTTCCCCCATAAAATGCATTAACAACTTTGAAATGTTCTATAATATTTTGAGAAATAGAGAAAGTGTATCTGAAAGAAAAGTTTGTTAAATAGAAAATTCACTTCGAAAAATGGAATCTCGTTAAATAGAAGTCCAAATGTAATTATTAAACCGTGTGTAATAAACATCTAGTGAAACTTGCTTTTGATTAAATAGAGCTATAAGCTTACAAAAACTATGAATAATTTACATAATAACATATATAATAACTTTTATATAAGTACAAAATAATCATATGCAATTTATATCCAACTATTGGCGGTGTTCTTTTTTCATCAATCTCATGAGAAAAATTTGTTTTTCATACACATCTCTTCTATAAACTAATAATTTTAGAATGCTCTTAGAACTCATTGCTAAACTTACAACTTTCACTCACTGTCTACATTTTTGCACAAACAGTTTTAGAGTTATAAGAGAAAAGATAAACTCATTTTATTATTATAGTTCATATTTTTATATATGTCAGATATTGGTATTATTTTTCACATAATACAACTAAATATATATATATATATATTTCTAGTTGAATATTCCTCCTTGTTATATCTGAACTTTAACTAAATACTCAATTCTGAAAAATGAACGTTGGTATAAATGTTGATTTGAAAAGAAAATCAGAGTTTGATATTAGAATTATTTCTTGGAACCACTATAAAAATTCTGCAGAAATATGGAAAAACAAACATAAAATTATTTTTACCTTGCATTTTTTAGTAGGATAAAAATTCTTATTTTTAAATTGCTATTTCAGTACTGTATTATTTATTTTACATTTAATGTTGTAATGTATTAATACATTGTAATGTATTATTTAATGTATTAATACATTGTAATGTATTATTTAATGTATTAATACATTTAATGTTATTTTGTTTAATTAGAGCTGTGTCCAATTATTATGACTTCTCTCATTAATGATTGAAAATTTAATTCTTTGCTAAGTTTGGCTGTAAAAATACAAATAATTTTTAAATTTCATTGACTTGTTTAAAATTTGATTTTCAAAATTTTATAAAAAAACTCTTCGTAATTCCCAATAAACTTCAACTGTCAAAAAATTTTCACTGTTTAACTTGGCTTTTTCTTATTTAATAAACTAATCTGTTGTTATACCTTTTTTATGCAACAAGAAATAAAGTGCAGATGGAAAAATTTAAGAAAAAAATTGCTTACATAATTGATGTCAGACAGGTTAATAATCTTAAAACACAATGAGTAATTAGAAATTAAAGGCTATTGCTATATAACTCCATTGTATAGTATATGTTATATAAATAGTGTTAAAATAGTTTAAAAATCATTTGTTCTTATTTAATAATTAAATAAAATTACAACATTGAAATTAAATTTAAAGATTTGCAGATTTCCAAAAAATTGTTTGCTCTTTTGTAGAATTTTAATTTAAAATTAATTTTTCAAGATATTGTAAAGTTTACATATTTTATTATTGGTTTTATTCTGCAAATAATTTATTTAAGTATAAAATTTTGATATTTATTTAAGTATAAAATTTTGATATTTATTTCAATTAATTTATAAATGTTTAATGTATAATTTATGCAGTTCATCGTTTTTTGATAATAATAAAAAAAATACTTTTAAAATATAAATTTAAAAATGAAAATTTTTTTAATGGTAATAATTTTTCTCTTTTGAACCTAAACGAGTTTTAATAGTAATCTCTTTAAATTGGTAGATAGATTCAAGATGTTTGCCATCAGAAGTTAACTAGGTAGTTAATTAGGAGATGTAGTTAAACTTAGAGAACGTATACAGAAGAATTGTTGAATAAAATTTTTATTCAAATTTATTTAGTTGTGTCAATTATTTATTTTAATTTGAATTATTTAAAACATGGATTATATATTTTATTGTAAAGCAAAACTTGTATTTTGCAATAGTAAATATTTTCTTTTCCCATCATCCTTTTTTTCTTATTTTCATTGCATCATTGAATGTCATAGACAAAATGCCTATTGATAACCTTTTTACTATACATCAATCTGTTTGCNCACTACAAAGCATAAAAACTGTAAAACAATTTTTACTTGCAAATGTAAATCAAGAAGTAAATTTGCAAAAAATTGTTAGTATTGAACGAGTTGTAGATGAAATTGTAGCTAAAAACAAAGAGGAAGTGAAGATTACTAATCTTTTCCATTAATTTAACTGGTAGGTGTCAATTTTTAAAAATCTGCATAGATTTTTCGTAATCCCAATTTTACGTTATTCCGCTTCGAGCGTTTTTTGTCGCTAGTCCGACTGAAAACGTAAAATCGGGGTTTCACTGTATATAATATACATCAGTATATAATATACATCATAATGATATTGAAACAATGTGTATAATATTATGCCATTGATATATTGTGTAGTTATTAGTGAAACGTGATATAAAATTAAAATGTGTGTCATTATATAGGTGGTCTATGGTTACTAGTATGTCAAAACATAGAAGTGCTGCTGGTGTTGTAGCCTTTGATGACCATATATATGCATTGGGTGGTCATGATGGTCTTTCTATCTTTGATTCAGTAAGCATGCTTACATCACAATGTCTTAAAATTTTCTTTTAGAATATCAATAAAATACATGAATATGATAATTATACATAATTATCAATAGCAATCATAATTATAACACAAATAATTATATTTAAGTTATGAATTAAATAATGAAAAGTGAAAGACATTAACAAACACAGTTATTAATATTTCTTTATTGCTATTTGTGTTCTTCCATGGTATTTTTGCATAGTTTGCAATAAGTTAACTACTGTAATTTTTTATTTCAATTACCTTTGACCTTACATTTTTTAAAGTTATAGAAATTTGTTTCAAAATGATTATTACAAAAAAAATCCCTCATGGTTTCTGATAGCTTTCAAAATAATAATTATTTTGTGCTGTCCATCCATTGGTTTTACTTGGGCTTACCTGAAGTAACAAATCAAAAATATATACAGTCGGACCTCTCTTTAACGAAGTCGCAAAATCCCAATAATAAGTTCGTTATATAGAAAATTCGTTAAATAGAAAATCTCCTTTTGAAATACAAACCTTTTCAAGTAGACAGCGCAAAACAGGTTTTAAATTCATAAACACTAGATATAATTAAAATAGCAATTAATACACCTTTATCTTGTAAACTAGTATCTACTATTTATTTTATAAATCTTAACCATAAAAGAAATCTGCATGGAAAGCAAGAATAGAGCAAAACATTATCCAGTGTTACACTATCATGCTGCATACATTTTCAACAAAAAAAAAACTAAATTGATGTATAAAATAATGGCTGCATTTATTATAGAAGTATTATTAAACATACATTACCACATGCATTCTTAACTTAAATTGCTACTGATAAAATCTGTTAATTTTGCCTGAATTTTTCATTTGAAATGCAGACAAAAAGAGAAAGGGATTTTACTGCTTTCTCTAAAAGTTGAGTGGCTTCAAAAATCAATTCAAGGTTTATTTCCCCCATAAAATGCGTTAACAACTTTGAAATGTTCTATAATATTTTGGGAAATAGGGAAAGTGGATCTGAAAGAAAAGTTTGTTAAATAGAAAATTCACTTCGCTCTTTGGAGGTATTTCATAAAGAAATTTCAAAATGTTCTTGGTTCCTTGAAAAAAATCGCAAAATAGGTAAATTCACAAAATTGAAGCTCATTAAATAGAAGTCCGACTGTAATTATTAAAGAGTATGTAATAAACTTCTTGTGAAACTTGCTTTTGATTAAATAGAGCTATAAGCTTACAAAAACTATTAATAAGTTACATAATAACATTTATATAAGTGAAAAATGATCATCAGCAATTTATATCCAACTATTGGTGGTGTTCTTTTTCATCAATCTCATGAGAAAAATTTGTTTTTCATACACATCTCTTCTAAAAACTAATAATTTTAGAATGCTCTTAGAGCTCATTGCTAAACATACAACTTCCACTCCCTGTCCAAATTTTTGCACAAACAGTTTTAGAGTTATAACAGAAAAGATAAACTCATTTTATTATTATAGTTCATATTTTTATATATCTCAAATATTGGTATTATTTTTCACATAATACAACTAAATATATATATATATATATTTAGTACACGTACTATATATATATACGTACTATATATATATATATATATATTTTAACTTCAGANCTCCACATCCTTATCAGCACTTGGTGTTATATATATATATATATATTCTTCTTCTAAATGAATATTCCTACTTGTATCTGAACTTTAATTAAATACTTTATTCTGAAAAATGAACATTGGTATGTATATTAATTTGAAAAGAAAATCAGAGTTTGATGTTGGAATTATTTCTTGGAACCACTATAAAAATTCTGTAGAAGTAGGCGAAAACAAACATTAAACTATTCTTAGCATGCATTTTTAGTAGGATAAAAATTCTTATTTTAAAATTGCTATTTCAGTAGTGTATTATTTATTTTTAATACATTTAATGTTGTTTTGTTAATTAGAACTGCGTCCAATTATTATGACTTCTTTCATTAATGATTGAAAATTTGATTCTTTGCTAAGTTTGGCTATAAAAATATAAATAATTTTTAAGATTCATTGACTTGTTTAAAATTTGATTTTCCAAACTTTATGAAGAACTCTTCTTAATTCCCAATAAACTTCAACAGTCAAAAAAATTTCTCTGTTTAACTTGACTTTTTCTTATTTAATAAACTAATCTGTTATTATATCTTTTTTATGCAATAAGAAATAAAGTGCAGATGGAAAAATTTAAGGAAAAAATTGCTTACATAATTGATGTCAGGCAGGTTAATAATCTTAAAACACAATGAGTAAATAGAAATTAAAGGCCATTGCTATATAACTCCATTGTATAGCATATGTTTTATAAATAGTGTTAAAGTAGTTTAAAAATCATTTGTTCTTATTTAATAATTAAATAAAATTACAACATTGAAATTAAATTAAGAGATTTGAAGATTTCCAAAAAATTGTTTGCTCTTTTGTAGAATTTTGATTTAAAATAAATTTTTCAAGATATTGTAAAGTTTACATATTTTATTATTTGTTTTATTCTAAAATTAATTTATTGAATTATAAAATTTTGATATTTATTTCAATTAATTTATAAATGTTTAATGTATAATTTATGCAGTTCATCATTTTTTGATAATAAAAAAAAATACTTTTAAAATATAATTTTAAAAATGAAAAATTTTTAAATGGTAATAATTTTTCTCTTTTGAACTTAAAAGAGTTTTAATAGTAATCTCTTTAATTTGGTAGATAGATTCAAGATGTTTGCCATCAGAAGTTAACTAGGTAGTTAATTAGGAGATGTAGTTAAACTTAGAGAACGTATACAGAAGAATTGTTGAATAAAATTTTTATTCAAATTTATTTAGTTGTGTCAATTATTTATTTTAATTTGAATTATTTAAAACATGGATTATATATTTTATTGTAAAGCAAAACTTGTATTTTGCAATAGTAAATATTTTCTTTTCCCATCATCCTTTTTTTCTTATTTTCATTGCATCATTGAATGTCATAGACAAAATGCCTATTGATAACCTTTTTACTATACATCAATCTGTTTGTCATCATATTTTGTTGTGTTTTTCATAGTGTTCTAAATAAGAATTAAGTTTTGTAACATATGCATTAAAGTACAAAATAAAAAAACTCACAATTTTACTTCATTATTCTGAGGTTTCTTCATTTAATTATTTCACTTTAAGCTGAGCAATAATTTTACTGATAACAGGTCAATGTAATGCACATTTTATTCAATTTTCAGTTTACATTAATTTCTGTAATCTCAGTATTAAATTTCACTTTTTCCTCATTTAATTTTCCACTTTTTCCTCATTTAATTAAAAATTTGTAGAGCAATCGTATTTTATTTAAAAGAAATTTTTTGATAAGTATTCTAGGAACCTAAAGGATAATGTTTTGCGAACATCTATTTAGCTTTAATCTGAAAAGTGGTGTACTTAGTATAATTTAATTTTGCAACATTAATTTGACTTGCACCATCCTTACATTTAATTATCTCATAAATTGCACGTACAATGATATACATATTGCATTGAACTAGTATATGTTTCTTTAAATTTGTTAATATTTTAACACTAGATTACTCAAGAAAGTCATTTTGACTGCTTTTTAATTCCAATTAGAAAAACAATGATGTATATAATGATACAATTTCTTAGAATTTAGTGACTTTTTGTACAGCATGTAATTTTTTTATAGTTAATATTTACTATAAACTTGTTATATAACTGTAAATAATATCAAAAATTAACTTTAAGCAAATTTCTTTACTCGTTAGTTATTCTTTCACAATCCAGTCATTTTGACTGCTTTTGGGCAATATAGGTATATACTAAGTTTCAGTCTTTCTAGTGTTAAACAACATATAGGTTGAAATGTCGTAATTCCAAGAAAAAAAAGCGGAGAGGTATATTTAAAAATGCTAAAACGTCATTCATTAGGTTAAAGAAAAATTTGAAGGTGAAAAAAGTGGATATGTTTTTGAGCGATCCTAAATGGAAACCCTTTTTCAAATCTCACCAGATGTGAAATCAAGCAAAATAGATTTGGAAACGAAAATGCAATTAATCCATTTTGACAAATGTTTTTTATTCTTTTCAAATATCAAGTAGTGTATAACAGAAGAGAATATTCATTTAGTTACAAAAAATAATCACTTTTTTAATAGCTTTTTTTGGGGGCGCAGCATATAAAAAAATTCAGGCTTTAATGGGTTAAATTTTTGCATTATTATTCAAGAATTTTACCAACTAGTGCAACTTTTTTGTGAATTAAGTTTTAACTAATGGAGAGTGAAGGTTATTCAAAGATTTTGAAAACCAAAAAAAAAAAAAAAAAAAAAAAAAAAAAAAAAAAAAAAAAAAAAAAAATACAAATTTCATATTTTAAAATTATACCACTTCTCAATTTTTGGAAAGCTTCTCCATTTTAGCAATTTTTTTTGCAGTTTGTTACTAACTCTTATGTTTTCCCAGGGAGGTATTCATTTATGTTTCTGTATTGTATTTAAATTCAGAGAAATCTTTTTCATGTTTTTATAAAATCTGATCAGGACGCAACGTTAATAGGGGTTTGTTTATTGAAAACCACTAGAACTTGACTTGGACCATCATAAAAAAAATTATCAGTGGTTCCCTGAACCATCATTTGATTAGCGTTTTTGTCCCAATACAGCATATTTTATTATAGTTGTGAACACTAACTTTCATAATTGTGTAAAACTAATAGAGACATAAAAACGGACCTGTCGAAATGCGCACAAATTAGTAATATTTTTAATTTTACTATCTTTTTAAGCGGGAGACTAATTTTTAACTCAGCAGATTGTTGACCTTAATATAATTTAATCAATGAACTTAAAAGCAGTCAATGTATCCGTTTAATCTGGCTATAGTTAATTGAGATCTACTGTATTAAATATTCTTTAAAAACTTTTTTTAAATTATCATAATACTGTGTAATGTAATCAGAAAATGAATTTTAATTATTTACAAATACCGAAAGCGACAAAAAGGTAAGTTAACAATTAAAACATTAAATCAAAATGGAAAAGCACCTAGAGCAGCTAAAACCAAATTTGCTTTATTTTAATTTAGATATTCAAAAAAAAAAGAAAGAAAAAAACAATAATTAAAGCTGGATAAAGCAATAAAAAAATATATATGTGTTAGCAAGACAGCACTTCATCAGGGGACACACTGCCTGCCAACACACAGGGCCTTTCTGTTGTCAGTGGAAAAAACAAAACTGACAGTGCCCCGAAGCCCCATAATGGATAGACAAATAAGAGAAAAACATTATAAGAATTGAAAAATAACCAGCAAACACAACTTAAAAGTACACATAGTAAAGACCTAAAAACGATACACCTACTCATAAATAAAAATAGTTACAGTTAGAATAGCCAAATCAAAATAAAATATTAATTGCCAAATCAGTAAGTATTTATTGCTTTTTCCTGCTTTAATTGTTTTTTTGAATATCTAAACTACTGTGTAATATTTTATTTTGATTTTAATAGTCTTACAGAACATCATCTGTTATTACAGCAACAGCAATAAATCATAGATTACAAGTTGGCATACTTGCAGTTAATTTAATTTGAAAAATTTTATTTCGTATACTATATTTATTCTGCATTTTCTTATATTTTCCTAGATGGAAAGATATAATCCACAAACAGGTCAGTGGACAAACATGCCACCTATGCTGTCAAAACGATGTAGACTCGGCGTAGCTACTCTCAATGGAAACATATATGTTTGTGGCGGTTACGATGGAGCTACATTCCTTTTAACTGCTGAAGTTTATAATCCCTCTACAAAACAATGGAAATACATAGCTCCGATGAATGTCATGCGTAGTCGAGTGGCATTGGCAGCTAACTTTGGTAAACTTTATGCCATTGGAGGATACGATGGGACAACTAATCTCAATTCAGTTGAAGTTTATAATCCAGAAACCAATCGCTGGGAGTTTGTTGCATCCATGTGCGCACATGAAGGAGGAGTTGGTGTCGGTGTCATACCTTCGTTATAAACGAGGTTTTGTTCTGTATTTATTTTAAAAGTTATTATTGATGGTTTTTATGATGTAAAATGGTGTATATTATTTATTTAATATTATTTATTTTATTGAATCTTAGGGGAGAAAAAATTTATTTTATTTTTGTTTTAGAAGTTATAATAAATGTTCTTTGTTATAAAATTATTCAATAAAAAGTGTGACTTTTTAATCTGTAATAAATATATTAATTTGTCATATTTTTTTTATTATGACTTAGTAATACGACTTATAAATGCAATTTTTTAAAATTTGATTTCTCAGAAACTATTCAACCAATCACAGTCAAATTTCATATTTCATCATGTAAAATTACATTATTTAAAATAATGTAAAAAATTTTATACCTTATAATTCAGAATTGTTTTGACTATTATTAAATAAAATAATAAATATTTATTAAAAGTTTTTACTTTTTTTTTAACGAAACTATCTTTGGCTAAATAAATTTTATTATTGCTTGCAAATTTTTTTTAATTCACTTAAAAAGTTCTCGAGATCTGCGAAATAAGCAAGAAATAAAATTATTAATGAGTCCAAAATTTGAACCGCTCTCCTGACCAAACTATTTGGACTCTATTTCTCAGACTGCGGCTGCCTACTATATTTTAGGGGTCAGAATTCCGAATACGATTATTATTCTTCGAAAATGAGTTTATGTTTATTAAAAGAAAGTACGTTTATGTGTCTGATTTTGTAAATTCAAATAACGCCTGCACTAATTAATTAGCAAATGTGAGGTTACCCCTTTGAACCATTAAGATTCAGTCCTGGAACGGGAAAATCTGATCATTAGATCGAAAGTTATTCAGGGTTGTCAGTTTTTTTCACACAATGTGTAGAGCAAGGGGGGGCANCCAACTTGCGGCTCGCGAGCCACATACGGCTCTTTGAAGGATTGTTTGTTGCTCTCCATAAATGTACCCTGGTTCTCTTTTCATTTTTGCTCTATTATATTTTAAAAAATTATTATCGTTCCGTTTGTGTTTCGAAATGTCTTTAAAATTACTGACAACAAATATGAAAGACTAAGTGCAACATTGTAACATATTTCATTTCCGTTCAAGTTAAGAATGATATGACTCATCGAAAACTGCTCGAACGAACATAAACAGTGGCGTAATCGACCGACGCCAGACCGATTAACACGATCTACCTATAATTTATTCTTTTTTTCTAACGAATTTTAAGGAATTATCAAGAGAAGTAAAATACATGTGTTTAATTTTTAATATTTAAATTCAATACACATATATTGTACTTTTATTTATATGTTTCCAATAAATATAATTTCTGCAAAAAAATTTTTAATACTTTTTTTGCGTACCTTTTAAATACGTATTTAATTGCGGCTCCTGAAAAATTAAAAATTTTGAAAAATGGCTCGACTATCACGGAACTTGGCCACCCCTGTTATAGAGTATCTGACTTAGCTCTTACTTTAGCAAAGAAAAAATATCACATTGGAATAATGGTGGTGAAATTGAGCAAAGAGAAGGAATATTTTTGAGCTAATTACTTTTGAAACACAGAGGAGAAATAGGATTAAAGAGAGCATTCATTTTCTACGGGCATATCAAAGATTAAATAAGCTAAAACCAAATGACCCATGGCTTCCTCTCCCTCGACTTTAGTAAATGAGATGTGGCTTCAGAAATTTCACGAAATTATATTTAAAAATTCTTTTTTCATTAATATTGTATGCATGTTTTCTCTTGTTTAGTGCATTAATTAAACAGTTAATGAACAACTGGCAAATTCAACGCTAAATAAGAAACAATGTCAATCGAAATTTTCCATGCCCTGCCACAGTTCGTACAATTCTCAAACAATATTTCTATGGGATATTTCCGTATCGTGATCTGTCGCGCCAACTACAATCACTAAGGTGCCAAATAGAATTTAAACTTGCAAATTAAAAAAACAAACAAACATGTAAGATGTTTGCCCGGGGGTGGCTACGAGTTATGCCTTTCGAGTTGGTCCCTTTCTGTGATCTTTTTAGTTTTTTGCGGGCCACTGCCTGGAAGTTTCCAAGACTTGGCGATTATTCTGCCACAGATCACGATACGGAAATCTCCCAGTTTCTATCATGAATTATACTCCAGAATAATGATAAAAAATAGTATATATTAACATCAGAGGTGTCTAAAAATTAAAATTTGCGAAGAGAAAAAACAAAGAAGTTTTCAAAAATTGACAAATCATAATTGATTCCTATCGAAATCTGACAAATCGTGTGAAAGTCTGAAATAAAAACATCAACCAGTTTGATTGACTGATAGAACTTAGAAGTGTATATAATAATCATGTACCTTCTCATAGTTTCTTCTGGTAACCAAACAGGTTTAGATGATTCGACTATTATTAATTAATTCTTCAAATTCCATTAAAAAAATAACACATGAAATTCTTATTTTTACACAACTTTACAATAAGGTCATTTGAGAACAAACTATTAGATTTCTGGTATAAATTGTTTCACACCCATATTAATACGAAGTATATCTAAATAAAATTAGCGATCAATAATTTAGAAGAATCGATAAGTTACAACTACAGATCGATAAATTAGAACTACATAAATGAAGAAAGCATGTACGTATTATTATTTTTGAAAGCATTCAGAACACAGGTGTTACTGTTGTAGTTAACAAAGAGTAGTAGAAAAATATCGTAAAATCATTTCGAAATTAAAAAAAAATAAATTAGTAACTGCTTGAAACATTTTATTTTATTCGAAAAAATTTAAAAATTCGTAAAATTTTATAATGCGATGCAAAATGTCAGTAAACGTTTCTTTAAAAAAAAAAATCTTATTTCATTTCGTGATGTTGATTAACTTGCATGTCTATTTAAATGAAAAACGAATTTCTAGTTAATTGCTCGTTCTTACATAATTATATTTGATCGAGTAAACACAGATAAACTTGACATATGCCAGGTAAATGTAGGCAAACTCAACGTGTAGCAACGTCTTCGGAATAATAATTTATTAACTTTTTGAGACTTAACGTGTTCATTTTGTTTATAGTTATACTTTTCAAAAGTATTTCTATAAATCTATGTAGCGTAAAGTAAACGTTAATAGAAAGATATATATGTTGATTGATTTGATTTGTTCATTTACGTCGCACTAGAGCTGCACAATGGGCTATTGGCGATGGTCTGGGAAACATCCCTGAGGATGATCCGAAGACGCCATCACAATTTTGATCCTCCGCAGAGGGGATGGCACCCCCGCTTCGGTAGCCCGACGACCTGCACGCGAAGTCGAGCNCCGTCCCGCTTTCAGGCGCAACACCCGGCGTGAACGTGTTAATTGCACGTTCTTACATAAATATATTTGATCGAGTAAACACAGATAAACTTAACATATGCCAGGTAAATGTAGGCAAACTCGACGTGTAGCAACGTCTTTAAAATAATAATTTATTAACTTTTTGAGACTTTACGTGTTAATTTTCTTTATAGTTATACTTTTCAAAAGTATTTCTATAAATCTATCTATTTTAAAATAAATGGTAATAGAAAGATATATATGTAAAAAGCGAATTGATCGGGAAAATTGCGCGATTGGGGATCTTGACTATCTTAGGTTGGTTGCGATCAGTGGCATTCCTTTCAGTGTAGATTGATACAGAGTATATAGAAAATTTTATCTTTTTGATGAGTTGAACTTTTTTCCTTAATCAAGTAATGTAAAGCCACCGGAAAAGGCAACAAATAATAATAAAATAAAACGATTTTAATTGTCTTGCTTTATAATGACATTTGCGCATGTTATAAATTATTACAGATTAATTTATGATTTACGTTATTTTTGACCCGCATAAAGAGGTATACAGCTAGCTCTAAAAAAATAACAATGAAGGAAACTATATTTTATAATTTTATTTTATTTCCGGTTCAGTCATCACTAGATTTTCTAGTAATGTTTCAAAAATGGATTCATAATTCTACAACTAATTACTACTTATTTTACTTCGATTTAATGATTAGAACTGTTTCTAATCTAAACAATTTTTTCCATTATTTTAAAAATAACTTCAAGAGTCCAATGACATAGCCTTGATTCGAGAGTGCAAGTTCGCCATTGAATAACATTTCAAAGGGACTGGATAATATTTTCAATAGAATCTAAACTTAACGCTCATTGAAGGTATGTATAACTTTATTTTGTTTTAACATTTATCAACCGTGAAAGTTGAATGATAAGTGAGATAAAGAAATTATTTCGGAGTCGAGTCGATTTTATTATCTATTTCCGGTTCTCTGTAGTCTTTGATAACAAGGAATTGTTTTTAATTGCTTGGAAAAGTCAGCTTATACTCATAGCAAAAAAAAGCACGCTCTTGTATGCACTTTAATTTGAAATTTTATTGAAATCAATGGTGTGTAAAGGTGTCTGGATACCGGGACAAATTATTTGATTTCCCCAGATAGCACATATTGTCACAACGACGTCATTAAAAAGTCAAAAATAGTCACAGGTGTGACCGTTTTATATTGCCATAAGGAGGTCATAAGGTGACTTAATAATGTTACTCTATTTTGTGATATCACATAAAAGTCTCCGTGACTTTTGTCACTTGGTAATCTTAAATATACTTCACTGGGACTAAAGTTCCTGAGAAACTTTGTTGCAACTAAGTGGCATTCAGAGATTCCACTTAAAAGAATAGTGTAATGAGTGGATAAAAAAAAAAAAAAAAAAAAAAAAACACTTGAAAGATATGTATTTATAAACATCTAAATCTATCTTTTAAATTGATTTTTATGTAAATGGCTGCAAAGCCTTTAACGAACCTTTGTGGTAAAACCTAGGAATTACCAAGCTACTTTGGTATATCCAAGGTTTTACCGGTAAAATCCTAGGCTTTTTCAGACTTTGAACTTTTACAATAACAACTTTCTTCTTGAAAAAAGTAATCTTAATAATTTTTATTCCCTACTTAAGGCTTCTTAACTTAGTGTCCGTTTTTGAATAAATGCATTTTCCAGTACAAATCCGAAGTATGTCTTAATATGATTCCATTTAGGCCTTTTACCAAGCCTTGCGATAAACACCTTGGTAAATGCTAGGTTTTACCGATAAA